TGCAAGTGAGGGCTGAAGACGTGTGGCTTTTCGGGTGCCCTACTAGCTCCAATTCCAAACGCAGCAAAGCTCTACTGCCATCTCGTGGCAGCACAAGACGTTCACAAGGGGTGATCTGCTCAGACTCTATACATTAAATCCACACAAAGTCGTGCACCTATGCAAAGATTAAAATAAGAAATAATGTTGCCTTTTTAGTCAAAAGTCTCATGTGTTTCACATCGTTCTGGTTTCAGAAAGGCTTAAGGTCTTTAAAACAAAGGCTACCACGTTTATTTTGCGAAATGTAACAATTTCACTTTGAAAAAGCCTCGACATAAAAAATTACCTTTAAACCCCATTTTCACATAAACTAGGAAATTTCACAAATGATAAAGTTCTTTCTTCAACAGTCAATCTTTTCGATCTCATCCATGTCTTCAGGGTCGAGCTGCTTAATGCTGCTGTCTGAAAGGACAGGTGAACAAACCGGTCTCACCCAGGGCCCACCTGGAGTCTCATCCCTTCCCGCTCGGAGATTCTGAAGACAGGGACACCTGTGAACATGTGTTCCTGTGACACCGGTGTGGGAAGCCTCACGATGGGCGCCTTCTCCAGATCAGATAAGGAGGGATGGCATCAAAATAACCCACTCATACCACCTAAAACAGCATCATAAGCAGCCGACAATAGAACCCACATGTCTAGACACCATGGGGCAGAAAATAGGCCACGGCACATGTGAATGTCAGGGAAGGGGCCTGCTGAGCTCTGGAGGGGCGCAGTGAGTGGGTGCAGGGGCTGGGCTGCAGGACGGCCACAGGGAGAGGGAGGGACTAAGGCTCCTCCGCTGAGTCACTTCCCAGGACTGGATCTTTAGGAGCTTACACAGCAACAGTGGTTCTTAATGGTTCTCCCTGCCCCTCCCCGGGTCCTCAGTTATCCTAACACAGGACGATTAATCAGCTTCCCTGAAGGGTCCACAAACGTGCTAGTCAGTATGCGAACCCTTTAAAATTATATTCCAAATCGCACATGTGCCTCTGTGCATGTCCCTGGGGAGTGTCCACTGCTTCTCATCAACATTAAGGACCATGTCCTAAAGGTGAAGATGTATTTGGGGCCACAGCCGGGCTCCTCTTCCCCTGCTCCCAGCATATCCACAGGCTTTGGGGCCTGGGGTAATTCGACAAGTGGACACTCAGGGTACATCACCCCTGGAGTTCCCATCAGAGTGCAACCTGCCAGTCCAGGCGCCCAGCAGGCCCTCAGAGCCTGCCTCGTTGAGGTGGGGGCTGCAGGAGGGGCAGCGGACCTCAGAATGTAGGACTGTCCTATTTGGTGGGGCGGGGCAAGTAGAAAGGAAAATGTAAATAAATGAGGAAGCCGGGGGCAGAATATGAGCACCCAGGATGCTGCTACTTTGCTTAGGTTGGTTCTTTATAGGACATGGAGATCTGGTTCAGGTCCCAGAACAAGCAATAACGTATAAATCTGAGTTGACATGGATGCCACATGATTTAAAATTTTCTATTTAACAACCATGTGCTAATCGATCAAGTGTCGCACAGTAGGCTCTCTGGCACTGTGATTCAGAAGCCTCCTGTCCCATCCTGTCCCGAGCCCCTGGGTTGGGATCCATGACCAGCGTCGTCACTGCCAACGTGAGCAGGCCCACTGTCCCCTGTGAACGATGCTACTTACTAAAGTGGTCCTGGATCTTCATAAGCAGGGGCAGCTTGTCGACTTCGATCATGTTGAAGGCAAGGCCTTTTTTCCCAAAGCGTCCCGTCCGCCCTATGCGGTGGAGGTAGGTCTCGTAGTCCGGCTCCTCCAGCTGGTTCACAGGGAGATCAAAGTTCACCACAATCGTGACCTGCTTCACATCAATCCCTGGAGGAGGAGAGACAGCGGAGGTCCCTGCTGCTCCTTCCTTAGGAGACAGCTGTCCAAGAACCACACTTACCGGGGGGTCCTCATTTCACAGACCCGGTCTCACAGGACTGAGGGGGCGCTCGGGTCAGGCAATCTGCTTGTACAGCATGTCTGCCATGCTCAATAGGAGTCAGTGGAAGCTAATTCTACAGAAGCCTGAATACATACACTGTGTGTGCACATGTGCGTATGTACACGTGTGCGTGTGTGTATGAGAGTGCACAGTGAGAAAGGCTCTTACCAAGAGCACAGAGCCCCTGCCTCCTCTCTGCTCCCTCTGTGCCCAGTTGCCAGCGGGCCCTTAGCCCATGTCCCTTTCCCCGTCACAGGGCACAATCAGGGGGTGAACAGATGCACTAACTGTGGTACATCCATTCAACGGAATACTACTCAGCAAGAGCAAGGAATGAACTGCTGATACATGGAACAGCACTGATAAATGCAAAAGCATTATGTCAAGTGGAGTAAGTCAGATAAAGAGGCTGCCAACTGTAGAACTTAATTTATATGGTATCTAGAGAGACAGAAATCTGATCTAGAGTCGCCAGGAGTTGCAGAGACTCACTACAAAGCAGCGCAGTTTTGAGGGGAGATGGCAATGTTCTGCATTTTGATTACAGTGATGGTCATAGGACTATATTTGTCTCTCAAAACTCATTATGTAGTGTATACTATACATTGAACACTATACTTAAGAGTGAATTTTAACACATATAAATTATACTTCAACAAACTTGACTTTAAGTACACACACACACACACACCTACCTCGGGCACAGACATTGGTTGTTATAAGAACTTTCTCTTTTCCATCCCGAAACCTCTGAATGATGGAAGCTCGCTGATCCACGGTCAGCTCTCCACTTAACAAAGACACCTGGTGGCCATCCTGCATCATCTCCACCGTCAACCACTTGGCATTTCGACGAGTCTACGTGAAAAAGCAAAGCCCAGCCCAGCACCCCAAGCTAAAGCAGACTGGCTGTGTTCACGGTGCTCAGGTGTGCGGGCGGGAGCCGGGAAGGGCTGTCCTGGAGGAGCTAGAGTGTGGCATGGAATTCTGTGCTTCTGAGGGTCCCAACCTCTCAGCCTGTCAGAGCTGTGGCTTCTCAGCCACGAGAAAGATGCTAAAACACTCCACCTATCACACGCGGTGGTATAATGACGACATGAGGCAACGTGCTAATGATAACATCAGACCCTAAGTGCTCCACGCCTGCCGGGCATGCTGCTAAAATCTGTTCACGCAGCAATCTGACCAAGTAGTTACCTAATTTCATTTTTAAAATTAAAAAAAAAAAAAAGCCGGGCCAGTGTAGCTCAGTGGTTGAGTGCCAACCCATGAAGCAGGAGGTCATGGTTCGAGTCCCGGGTTGCAGGCTCGATCCCCAGTCGGGGGCATGCAGGAGGCAGCCAACCAATGACTCTCATCACTGGGGTTTCTCTCTCTCTCTCTCCCTTTCTCTCTGAAATCAATAAAAAACATATTTTTTTAAAAAAGATAGAAAAAATTTTAAAAACCCAAAGCTTAAAAACGTGAGTACCCTGCCCAACCTAACATGCTGGCCCGTGGCAGAGCTGAGCTTCCCTTTATCCCACGCGTGCTCTCAGACCTGGGCCGGGCCGGGGGCGCCACTCTCGAGCAGGGGATGGGAGAGCAGGACAGACGGGAGCGCAGAGCGCCCGCGCGATTGTGGGGAGAAAGCAACACGAACACGTGGGCACTGGGAATGTCAGGTTGCAAAAGATGAAGATAAAAGCAGTGCATTGCCAACAGTGAGGGGCCGAGCGGCTGCTTTACTCATAGCAGGTCAGGGATGGAAGGGGACGTTCTTCACCTGATAAAGGGCGTGTGTCAAAACCCCTCCAGAAACATCGGCCTCCGTGGGGAAGTGGGAGAAGCCTCCCCTCCGCATGAGGATGCCGTCTCTTTGGCACAGGGAGGGCCCGTCCCATTGCTTAATCTAACTTCCACCCGCAAAATACAAATCCCTTCTACTCAGGTTGCCCTGAAGATTAAACCGCAGAATAGGCAAGAAGCGCTGAGCACGGTGCCCGGCCACGGCGCCCTTCTGAGTATCACTGTCCCCCGACTCCGCCCGCAGGGGTCCGGGCACAGCCAACTCCGCCCGCAGGGGTCCGGGCGCGGCCGACTCCGCCCGCAGGGGTCCGGGCACAGCCGACTCCGCCCACAGGGGTCTGGGCACAGCCAACTCCGCCCGCAGGGGTCCGGGCGCGGCCGAGTCGCGGCAGCTACCTGGCAGAAGATGATGGCCTGGCCGATGGTGATGCCACCATAGATGTTGCACAGGGCTTGGTACTTGTCCTTCCTGCTTTCGCACAGCACGTAGTACTGCCGGATGTTGTTCAGGGTCAGCTCCTCTTTCCGTAGCTTGATCACGTTGGGGTCAGGAATGATTCGCCCCGCAAACTGCCACACGGACTCCTCGAAGGTCGCCGAGAAGAGGAGCATCTGGCACTCGGAGGATAAAGCTCTGTTGGGAGGGACAGGAGGAAGGCCGTGACCGACGGCCACCCGCGCGGGCCACTCGCCCCGGAGGCAGCCTCCAGCACCTGGTGCCTGCTGCCGTCAGTGGCCCGCACACCGGGCAGGGCTGAGCGCACGGGGCGCCCGCGACCCCGCACCTCCACGCACAGCGCAGCGCGTCCTGCTGCGGCTCGCCACCAGGACCTGCAAACGCACGTACACTGACCGGGCAGCTCAAGAGCAAAGTTCCATGTGTGTCCTGCAGGGTTTCAGCTTTTCACACCCATGTTCTCTCCGGGAGAAGCAGAATCACGGAGCCCAGTGAGTCCAGACGCCGCTCACGGGGCTCGTCCCGCACAGAGTCGCGCGGGGGTCCAGAGAAGGAACCGGGCCGGTCATTCCAGGGTGGGGGTCCTGGCAGCCAGGACTTCTCATCAGACGAAGTGGAAGGACTTCCCAGCTGGACGTCCTGCGCACTCCGCACCTGAGACTGAGCGCTGCGTTATCAGCTTTCGGCCACTTTTCAGTGAGAACTGGGAGAAGCGCTTAATGAGTTTCAACTGCACAGAAATGGAAGGAGAGGCCTCCTTAGACACGTGCCTATCCGGTGACCGTCACTGCTGCCGGCCACTGGGAAGGTCTACAGGGCTGGCCTGCAGAAAATCTTATCTTTAAAACGGGACAAAAAGGATGTCCTCTCCAATCCGGAAATACACTGAGGGTCCGGATGGAGGAAAGGACTGTAGCAAAACAGAAATTACATGTTGCTTCTCCACACGGTCTGATGGCCTCTGAGTATGGGCAATATCTGCTTAATCGGTCCTCCGGGATCTACATTCTCCTTGAGAAAAGTTCTATATTTATGTATCTTAACACTATACAGTAGCAGCCTGTAAAATGCAAGCATCCATTTATAACAAGTTTAAATAGATTAAGACCAATTGCTACGTCACAGATGAAACATTATAAAATAGTTATATTTCTCTCAAACACATTTATTAAATTAGTTCTACTCTAAGCAATTACTGTAACTGCTACTGTTAACTAGTTCTACTGCTGCTTGGTTTAAATAGTAGATTAATGTCACAGGAAATCAGAATAATATATAATGTCAAATAAACATTTTTCATCTTTTTATGTTAAAGTACCAACACATGTATATGATTGCTTCTTCTATATTATTATATTATATTATATTATATTACATTACATTACATTACTATATTATACTATACTATACTATACTATACTATATTATATATTATTTATTCATTTTGTCTGCTATGACTATGTCCCAGGTTGGCTCTCTAAAACGTTGGTCACTTTAAGGAAAGAAACAACGTTAAGAAATTTCCCCAGATCTGGCAGGCACACATTTGGGGAATGAAAGAGTGCACCGTGTGCCGAGTACAATGAATTAAAAAAAGACCCCGACCGAAGCACATCACTGATAAGTGTCAGAACACCCGGGAGAAGGAAGGCTCTAAAAGTCTCTGGAGAGAAAGAAAACATCACACAGAAGTCTTGGGATCAGGATGACATTAACCTTTTCGGCAACAACACTGAAAACCGAGAGTATTCATTACAGTATTTTAAAAGCCGTTTCTGTTTTCCACACTGTCTCCGAATTTACAGGGGAATGCACTTCAACCTGGAAGGCGACGTGCAGGCAAACCATCGATCCAAAGGTCAAATTTGCAGGTACAATGAAGACATTTTCAGACAGGTGTCAATGGTCAAATTCACAGGTACAAGCGAAGACATTTCCAGACGGGCAGAAACTGGAAAATGAACTAGTTTCAGGAAGCCGTTAGGGAACAGACTGTGTAAACCAACAGCAGGCCAAGAGGGACCCAGGGAAACGGGCTGAGGACCCAGTGACGGAGGACAGGAGGGCCTGTAATGACAGGGGCGCAGCAGGTCTGGAGAGCAACCAGTCCAGGCCGGGACCAGAGAGAGGGAGTGGGAAGGGCTTCAGGAAAAAATAAATAGTGGGTTTTAAAATTGTACTTCCCTATTTGGAGATATCACTGACATGATGCAAATGATGAAATAGAGAAAAATTAAAGATCCCCACACAGTGACACCTACTAAACACATGAAAATAGGCAATTATGACTTCTAGGGGAAAACCTAATTTTAACAATACACTGTTCAGCGGTGGACAGTATTTGTAATGTCACAGTGATATCAATACTTACTGTTAATGAACCAAACTTATGATATGACCACAGAGAGGTGTTAGAGGGGGCAGGAAAATGAGAGCGAGCGGTGGAATGAAAGAACTAAATCCCGACCTCCTCTAACGGGACGTCAGCAGACAATGACTGTACATCAAGAAACAGCAGTACGGCCCGGCCAGCGTGGCTCAGCANGTTAGAGGGGGCAGGAAAATGAGAGCGAGCGGTGGAATGAAAGAACTAAATCCCAACCTCCTCTAACGGGACGTCAGCAGATAATGACTGTACATCAAGAAACAGCAGTAGGGCCCGGCTGGTGTGGCTCAGCGGTTGAGCATCGACCGAGGATCCAGGAGATTGCGGTTAGATTCCCGGTCAGGGCACATGCCCGGGTTGCGGGCTGGATCCCCAGTCAGGGGCGTGCAGGAGGCAGCCGATCAATGACTCTCTCATCACTGATGTTTCTCTCTCTCTCTCTCTCTCTGAAATCAATAAAGACATATTAAAAAAAATATATATAGCAGTATGCGCACTTATAGTCATGAAGGTTAATATCACAACAGGGATGCATTCTCTAGGGCATGGGGCAGGGGATTACTGCTTTTCACTGCAAGTCTTTCAATACTATTTGAATACAACACTAAACGTATGCTTTGTTTAAAAATAAGGGATACAGAGTTCTAAAGCCCACTCCCAGAAATTCTGATTCAGTCAGTCTCAGGTTAGGGCTGGTAATCTGTCATTTCCAGCCCCATCAGGTGATCCTGAGAGACAGGCCTAGGACAATGACAGGATTTATTTAACAAATTGCAGGCAAAGTCGGGACTAGGCTACTAGGCTCCTGATCCCGAGTTCCATCTTCTCTAAACCCTGATCTATCCACTGTAACCTTAAAGCTCCATTGGACTTCAATAAACTCTCTTTAGAACTCTGCTCCAAATACATAAATTAAAAAAAAATTACTGGCACATTTTGGAGCAAAACCCACTCTATGGATTCATCTGTAAGCCTGTGGGGCAAAAGGAAAGCAGTGAGGAAGGTGGAAATTCACAGCAGCCGGAAGGCCTGTGAGCTGGTGAGACTTGGTTTGAAAGGCGACAGAAGTAGGGAACCGAGCAGTAAGGACAAGCAGGAGAAGCAGACAAATGAAATTTCTCACCCGGGCATGAGAGCCTGGAAGGAGGGGTGCATCTGAAGATTACCTTTGAATCCGAATGCTTTGATCTGAGAACCCTTGCGTGGCGATCATAACATCTGCTTCATCCAGGACAAACACACGGATCTTAGCCAAATCAATTAATTTCCGCTTGAAGTACCAATCGAGGACAGTCCCAGGGGTGCCGATTATAATCTGCTGGGTGACGTCAGTGCTCCTGGGAACTAGGGAGAAAAGGGCTTGAAGGGCTCCTTCAGATGCAAACAGCCCACAGTGCAGGGCAGTGCGACACAGAGCTCTCACCCCAGGGACACGTCTGTCCGTGTGCAAACCCTGAGGTCACTGTGGCTTTGAACTGTGCCGAGTTTTAAAATAAATTTCCTAGTTTTATGGTGATGATAATATCCTGAATATCTGATTCATTTAAAACGCCACCCTGCAGCATTCCCACTGTCCTACAGAAATGCTGGCGCAGCTGTGAAAACCCTACAAACCCTCCCCAAATGGAAAATCACCACCATGTCTACCAATAGGTTACATTAAATAAATTAAGGAACATTATGCAGCCGGTCAAAAGAATGAGACAGGGCGATACGTACTGATATGGAAAGATGCCCAAAACATGTAAGTTTTTTAATATTATGAGAAAAATACTCCTGTTTTGGTAAATACTCTAAGAAAACACATACATAGACATTTGTCAGTGTATGAGCTCCAAAAAAAAAATGCAAAAAGCAAAGGACTGTTAACAAAACTGTAGTTATCTTTGGAGGTAGGTTTCTGGAGGAAAAAGAAGAACACTCACTTTTACCCCCTAATCTGTGTTTTAAAGATTTTTTTCCCTGCCATACACATGTAATACTTCAATGAAAAAGTTAAATAGTAAGAGCTGTTGTGCGCCAAACAACTGAGCTTCAAAGAAAGGAACATACAAAGCGTCCTCCTGCAGGGTGTGCGAATGGGGGACACAAGGGTCCCTATGACGCACCAGGCGCTGTGCACAGGGCTTTGTCCACATCACTGCGTAGCATCCTGACACCGGCTCTGTGACGCAGGTGCTACTACAGCCCCCACTTTAGAGACAAGAAAGCAGAGAAGTTATATGACGTGCTTGTTAGTGGTAGAGCCAGGATGTTAAAAATCAGCCTAGGCCGGCCAGTGTGGCTCAGTGTTTGAGCGTTGGCCTAGGATCCGGGAGATCGTGGTTTGATTCCCGGTCAGGGCACACGCCCGGGTTTCGGGCTCCATCCCCAGTAGGGGGCCTGCAGGAGGCAGCCGATCTATGATGTTTCTCTCTCGTGGATGTTTCTGTCTCTCTATCCCTCTTCTTTCCTCTCTCTCTCTCTCTCTCTAAAAAAAAAAAAAAAAATCAATAGAAACGTGTTTTTAAAAAGGATCAGCCCAGACAGGCTTCGCAGCACATACCTGGGTTCCCTCGAATGGCATACATCACTTGGACGTCCACGCAGAATTTCCCCATCTGCTCAACCACACGGCCCGTTTGCAGAGCCAGTTCATACGTAGGGGCCAGGCAGAGGCACTGTGCGGTAGAGAGAAGGGGGAAGGGAAAGTTCAGAAGCCATCATGCAAGGCTGACAAACGACTAAAATATGTACCCGGAGAGGCACAGAGATTTGGGTTGAATAAAATATTTTAAACTGCATACAATTTAGCAGCTGCTGGATATATACTCCTCCCTGCAGGGTTGTGAAGGCACACAGGTTACCGGGCACACTTTTCTTGGTGGGGGCGGAATGGGATGTAAAAAGGCTGGCAACCGAAAAGAGGGGGGTGTGACAAATTTCACCACCTCCGGCCAGCGATGAAAAGTCTGCCTCTTTCCAGAACATTCCCTGCTGGATCTGATCTAACTTTGCTTCCTCCAGCTCTTCCATGTGTTCCTCCCACCCCCCGCCCCCATCAACGGCGGCTGCTGAGTGGAGATGTGGGTGGGAGAAGCTGGGGCCATGTTTAAAGCTTCAATGACAGGCCTGTGATGGGAGAGCAGAGGGAAACACAGCTAACGTGCTAAAGACAGTTTCCACACAGATTTCTCAAACGCGGCTTTTCCTGAGGAAGCTTTATTCATAATATCCAAGCCCAAATACAAATTTCAGTGGACTTGTCAAAAAACAAACCAACCACCAGATGATTTCATATGTCTGGCTTCAGTTATTCACGGCCCCAGCGTATCTTGTTGATCAGAGCGTAAGCGCCCCGAGGGCACCCTTGTTTCCCCAGCACTGAGGGCACTCAGCACTCGGGTACTCAGCTTGTCCCACGAGGGAATGAGTACAGTGTGGAGACAGGGAGCGATTCACAGATATTTCCCATGAGTGGAAGCTAGACCAGGAGCAGGGCGAGCACAATTCCAACCCTGCTCGGTCAGTCTCTGACACCTGTGACCTCATGTGACAGTTCCCTCTCCAAGCCTCACCTGCCTCCCCGGCTAACTGGGTGAGGTGGACTGGAAGATCTTCAGGTTCCACCGCTGTGGAGCATGGATGCTCACCTCATTCCAAGCAGTGCTAAAAATGCAACTGTTTCATTTAATCTGCATGAGGCAAATACTCATTCATTTGCTCATTCACTCACTCACTTGCTCACTCATTCATTCATTCATTCCCTCATTCAGTGTTTAATGAGTGGTTTCTACAAGCCAGGCACTGTGCTCGGTGTCAGGATTCAGAGTGAACAGAACTACGACCCACGCCTTTATAAATGTTATCTTTACAAACAAGGAAATAGACTCAGGGAGATTTACTTCCTCGCCTAAGACGTTCAGTCAGTAAGAAGGGAGGCTAGGACTGGAGCCACTCAAACTGTAAAGCCTGCACTCTCGATCGCTGTCCCACACTTCTGCCCAATACTCTACAACTTCATGAAAGAACGTCTATTGTAAATATGGTATCGCTGCAGCAATACCGCCTATTACTAAAACATCATCGGCACTGAAAGCAATCCCGTCTCTCTCGCAGCCCTTCCTCACCTGCGGGAACAGTTCCGAGGTGTTAACTCTGCTTAGCATTGCCAAGACAAACGCAGCGGTCTTTCCTGTTCCAGACTGGCTCTGGGCTATGAGGTTCTGGGGTCTGTAGAAAAGAGGAGACCACTGGGCATAAGCTGAATATAAGACCCTGGGCATGAACCGAATATTAGAGCCTAAAAACAACCAAGCTGCAATTACCACTACCCTGGGAACTCACGGATGCGCCAGCATCATCGGGAGGGCCATCTCTTGGATTTTGGATGGTCTATTAAATCCCATTGCATAGATCCCTTTTAGCAACTCTTCCTTTCTGTGAAAACAAACAAAAATCAAACACTTAAAAGCTCATGATTGGTTGAGTAACCTCAGAAATACGAACTTGAAAGGTGCATTTCTAAATTAAGCCACTTGGTAACTGAGCTTCAAAAGTAATATTCAGAAATCAGACTATATATCTATCAACGCCCAAACATATGCAATCATGCCTGTACAGCTGGACCCCTAAAATAATAAGCTATACTATAAACCTAGGGCAAGGACAGTAACAGAACCTAACACTGACCTTTCTGTTGAACCAAACAAAAAACTCATCTGACAGATGTCCATTAATTTGCCAGGAAGAGTTTTCTTTCCCACATAAGCAGAACTCTACGTGAAATTTGTTATTTAATTCTTATTAATGAATGGCAAACTTTGATGTTTTAACAGCTATTTTCATAGAAGACAGAAATTTATGTAGGTGATTCTTTCATCAATTCTGTCTAGGGGCAGAAGACACTGTTACCTCACCCTTCTGAGCCAGTACTTTTAAATGCTTCTTCCCTGGGGTCTCATGACAGATGCCAGGAAGAGAAAGTGCAGTGGGCTGGAACTCCTCCACCTTCAATAACATGCACGTCTGAGATGTGCTTAACTGGCAGGCTAACTGGTAGATGACTGGCAGCCAACTTTTAACCATAGGAAGGCTTCTCCTTCCATTCAGAAAATGTCTGGACACTGGGATTTTGGAGCTTTCCCCTTTACACAAGTCCATATCGATAAAATGCATTTCTTTAATGCCAACTGATAAATCCCTAGGAAACGCAAACCCATTTGGGAAAGGTATTCATTTTTAAGCCACTTGAAACGCAATATAATTAGAAAGGAAAAACTTCTAGGTTATCTAAAGGGGGTGGGGGGACATTTGTGTCATCAATGGTCTTGTATCTTTACTCTGGTGTAGAGATTAGCAATACGGCTGTCTAGCTTAGCTATTTCCCTTAGCACAGCAGGATTGAAATATTTTACCATCAAAAATGTTCTCGCCCTAGCCGGTTGGCTCAGTGGTTAGAGCCTCGGCCCCTGGACTGACTGAAGGGTCTCAAGTTCGATTCTGGTCAAGGGCATGTACCTTGGCTGCAGGCTCGATTCCCAGCCCGGGTTGGAGCACATGCAGGGGGCAACTAATTGATGTGTCTCTGGCATCGATGTTTCTTGTTCTCTCTCTCTCTCTCTCCCCCCCTTCCTCTATCTCTGAAAAGCAATGAAAAAAATATCCTCAAGTGAGGATTTAAAAAAAAAAAGTTCTCAACTTGCTGAACAGTGCAGGCATCCCAGTGTTGTTCTTTGAGCTATATTTTAATTGCATGCAAAATGTACACATCTCATTTTAATACTGAATATTGGAACACAAAGGAGATCCTGGCAGTTTTATGATTAGCAGATTAGTTTGCTCTGTGCTGCGATTCCCGGCATTTCCCCCACTGAAAGAGTAAAAGTACTCACAGCCGCAGCTCTTCAAATGTTTTCACTGAGTAGAGGGGAGAGCTGGGATCCTTTTGTAAGACTTCGACTCGGTGACTGGATTCTACTAAGGACTGCCGGATTAACTTGTTTAAGAGTGAATTAGCAGCCAAATCCACTAAAAAGGCAAGAATAAAAAGGGAGATATTTATGCTTTATAGCAGGGGGGGAACTCAGGCTTCCCAAATGACACCTAATAAGTTGCTCCCTCCCGCTGAGTGGTGTCTACCAAGCAACTGCTCCTACTCTCATCTTTCTTCTAAATAAGTTTCTAGAAAAAAATGACATAGCGCCGAGAATTTTTTTTTTCTCACGAGGATACAGTTTCTTACAGTCTGCTGCTACACCAACCTCTAACTTCAAGCAAGTCTACATCCATCGCCAGCAGACCCCAAGTTTCCTCGCCAGCTGGAAATTCTTAGCCCCTCCCTACTACATACTCCATTTCAACTTCCTCTAGAAATACACCCCACTCCTAACTTACTATTATTTCTCCTGACAGTCACTAACTTATAAAGAAAACAGAAGTAAAGACGGTTCTCCAACTGACAATACATTACTCACATCATGAAATCATGATGAACTGAAACAGAGTGCTAGGGGATGCATGCAAATGAATTTGTCTCCTACCTACTTCTACTTCGTCGTCTTCTGCGTTATTAACAGAATCATCTAAAAGGGTGGAAGAGAAACGATATATGTAAAGATAAGCGCCAAGCAGAGATGGGGAGCGCGGGTATCATCCCAATTTCTCCTGCCCCCTCAACAGTGTGCACTGGCGGGAAGGGTCCTCCAGGGCAGGGGCGGGCACAAGGACTGGGAAAGGGGCCGAGGGCCTTGAAGGTCAGGTCAAGAGAGCCAAATCTGCTTCAGCTGCCAGGGACAGGAGGAAAGCAACGCTCCTCCACGGAGGCCAGCCTGCTTTACCCTGCACAGCACTTACCCGGGTGTGGGGCTGCAGTACTCTTAACACCCCGAAGGTTCTTCCGGGGGTGGATAAGGTTTGAAAACTATTGAAAGACAGAAATTTCAACCAATATTAGGAAGGGAGACTTCAAGAAGGCCAGCGCTACCCCTAACGGGAGCTGGGAGGGGTGCAGCAAAGGCCACCCAAATGCTGTGTGTCCTCTGCAACGTCAGGTGCAGGTGCCTTTGGGGAGCTGCGTGAATTATCCTGACACTGGAGGGGCCTTTCGGCGGCCCCTGCACCTGCAGCGCCTCCTCGGAGGCCTCTCGTCCCCGGGGGTTCACACGCGCGAGGAGCGCGTCGGTGGGGAGCGGGGGGACGCTGCGAGCCTAATGGTCACCCTGGGAGCGCAGACAGCGCGGGGTCTGGCTGGCCCCCGGCTGCTCTCCCGCCCTGGGCTTCCAGGGTCTTCATGTCGCCCTCGCAGACCAAAGGCCTCGCGTCTCTCGGGGTCTCCTTTCTCGGGGTCTTCTTCCAAGTCCTGGCGGCCAACAGCGCCCCTCCCC